AAGAATCGAGAGGTTAATGACGAAGACTTTCCTTCAAGATAATTTTACTACGGGTAGGGTCGAGTCGGGTCGGGTCGGGTCAAACCTATAGTTTTTGTCATGTCATAACCTTATTTTTGTGTTTTTTTTTTTTTTTTTTTGGTTTATGTCCCAGGTTAAAAGAAGTTATGTGTCCGCCACTGTATATACTAAATCCATAGCCATGAGATATGGAAATATTCACCAATTTTCTTTTGAATGTGAAATAAATATAATTATTGTTAAGTTAAAATATATTTTAAAATAATAGAATCTTATGATGTTTCACCCTAGCAAAATTTGGTTATAATTTTAATAATTTCTACTCTGATTCTGGAACCCTCTACCTTGGATGGGGGAATGACTTATATTTCGGTGATTTCTACTCTGATTCACTCTTTTCTAATCTAATTCATAAGATAAACAAACTAGTCATTTTTTTTTCAATGTGTATGAGTCTATATGTACTAAAAGTAGTGAGTAGGAGTCTTAAAACGGAGGTCCAAAGAATTGGAAACTGGGAATAATTTGAATATCAATGTTAACCGCCAAAACTGAAACAAGGGAAAGATCAGGTAAACCGTAAATAGAACAGTCCAATACGATAGATTTATCTCCAAGCTACTTAAGGGCATATGCAAGGGGATAACTTATCTCATGTTCTTACCATTAAAAAAATAATAAAATAAAAGAAAATGGTTTTAGAACATCCAAGAACTGTTTAGACATGTTCTTCTCTCCACCTAAGAATTGTTCTTCTATCTACATTATTTTAATACTCAATTAATCCTAAGAACACCCAAACAAGTTATTCCGATAAATATGGTCTAACAACGTACGAGTCTGGTGGATTAATTTTTGAAAGCATTGTTCTTCAACTGCCAAACAAGGAAAAAGCTCTCACATGTCTACATGGAAGATGCGTTATACCGCATTTAGCAAAAACAAAAGATATTGTCCAATTGCCAAACATCGCAATTCAAAGTTCAAACACATGAAAACTAATCAAATTACAGCAATATTCTTAGAGAGCATCTCCATTGCATGAGAGAGTCCTATGAGTATAAATATTAGTATTTGTAATATAATATATATATATATATATATATATATATAATTAAAAAAGTAAAAAGAAATTAACCAATTAGATGTGGACACATGTAAATCTTGTTTGTTAAGAGTGTTTCATCTCCAATGCATGGTTCTCTTCTATATTTTGATGAGTTCTCATCTGAAATTGGGGAAAAAAATAATTCAGAATTGAATAAAGAAGAGAGAATCGATTCTCTTAGGCCATATTTAACGCTGAAACACTGGCATGTTCTTACAGTTTTTTAATAATTAAAAGTGGGTTTCGAGGGTTAAGAACTGAAGAAGTGATCTTGGACGAGAACTGTTTCAAGGGTGTTCTCCGGGTGACGTGTCCGTCTCTGAGTGGGTAGCATTTTTAAGTGTTGGGCTTTTTTTTTTCAACCCAATCACACAAATAAACCGGTCTAAAATGTAAATTATATACCAAAACAAAAATTACAACTCTAAAAAATACAAGTGTTTAGTTTTGTAATGTTTTCAATTTCAATTTTTTTTTTTTTAATTTAAAAAAAAACATTTAAAGTTTTTGATTATTAAATTATTATGGGAAAATTAGATATAAAGGACAAATAATTAAACGATTGTCCATGTATGCATTCTATATTCAAATGTCACATATTTCTAATATACCCTTTGTAATTGATTTAACCAATTTTTCAAATAAAATTCAAAATAGTTTGTAGGCAAATGATAAAGAAGTCATGGGGATACTTATAAAATCAAAAAATATATCGTTTTTGTTACCGTTTTGAATGAATAAAATATGATCTACGAAGTTTAGACTACGCCTTCTGAATTTAGAATGTGTATTCTATATATTGTACATGTTCAATAAAATTTAGATAATGTATTCTATTCACTCTACATGTTCTAGAAAATTTAGAACACATTTCTGTTCCACGGTATTTAGAATGCTAAATTCTACGAAATTTAGAATACATATTCTATACTTTGCTCTTTCTTCTAGAAAAATTAGAATATGTTTTCTAACATTTACCCATGTTCTAAAATTGTTAGAAAACACATTCTTATATTTTTCTATATATTCTACAAAAAAAATAGAAAACAAATTCTATGTAATTTAGAATGTTTTTTTTAAAAAAGAAAATAAATTATAAAATATGGAAATCGAATATAAAAAGTTAAGATTACCAAACTACGCAACTTTTCGTGAAAAATACGTAACATGAGCGAAACGTGTTGCTCTACTTACACAAAATACAAAATACGTAATATAACCAAACTCAATTATAAAGTAACAAAAGTACCACATTTGTGGAAAATTGTGGTTTACTATAGGCGTAATATTTGAAAGTGACTAACGTAAAAGTGAATTGACATGTAAAAAAGTTGCATAAATCATTGTGTGTTTGTTTTTCACTCAATCTCTATTATATTAGAATCTAGTTGTGGAGGTTCATACTTTGCCATTCGGTCATGAATACATGAGCAGATGTTATTTCCCGTAGATCATCTACATGCCTTTGATTTGCATGTATATGTTGACATCGTCCAACATATCGATGGGAAGTCCCAAAAGAGAAAATCAAAGAAGAAGTTGCCGTAAAAAATAGAAGAAGAAGATGCCGTAAAAAAAAAACATTAAAGCGGAAGAAGATTTGAAATTATCTACGGCAAGAAAATTAGAAAGTAATTAAATATTATTTTTGTCATATATTTTCTCCAAATCATTTTTAGAAAGTAATCTAATTAATTTTGGAATTTTATAGTTTAGCAAGATTTAACAAAAAAAAATGGGGATAGAAATGAAATTTTAATTATATCAAAGCATATATAACCAATTTTAAAGCATATATGACCAATTAGGAATATAGAATGCATAGATGGACAATAATTTAATTATTTATCCTTTATATCCAATTTTCCCAATTATTATTTCCTATGTTCTAAACATGTTCTACCAATAATTACTTACTTTACAAAAGTTCTTACAATATTTTAATATTTTTTAGGAAAATTGGAAATAAAGGACAAATAATTAAACTATTGTCCATCTATGCATTCTATATTCATGATTGGTCATATATACTTTAATATTGGTCATATATGATTTCATATAATTAAAATCTCAATATGCCCCCAGTCTTTTAAAATTTTACTAAACTATTAAAAAATTTCAAAATTAAATTGATTTCTTTCAAAAAACAATTTGGAAAAAATATAGGACAAAATCAACATTTATTTACATTCCATTATTTGTTTTGCCGTAGATAATTTCATATCTTCTTCTTCTTTGATTATCTTGCTCATCAAAGTTAAGCTTTCGTAATTGTTCTATCTTCTCTAATAACGCCATATTAAATAACTTTTTTTTTCTTCTTCAATCTCTCTCTATCTCACTCCCTTGATTTCAATTCTTTATGGAGCGCAACTATAATTTTCCGGGTTTTGAAACAAGAAATTAAGCGTAATCTATAGGAAAAAATGTTAAGTATAAAGAAAAATTCTAATTTGTGTTATAATTTATTCACTTAGGTATAAAGAATTTTAAAGTATTCAAAATTCAACTAATTTTCCGGGTTTTGAGACAAGAAATTAAGCGTAATCTATAGGAAAAAGTGTGAAATATAAAAAAAAATTCTAATTTATGTTATAATTTATTCACTTAGGTATAAAGAATTTTAAAGTATTCAGAATTCAACTTCTGTCATTTGCAGATGTAATCAAATTCACTATATTCAATTTCCATATTTTAAGATTTTTTTTTTTAAATCTAAATTAGATAGAATGTACTTTCTAATTTTTATAGAATAAAAAAAAATCTTAAGAATATGTTTTCTAACATTCTTAGAACATGAGTAAATGTTAGAAAACATATTCTAATTTTTGTAGAACAAAGAACAAAGTATAGAATGTGTATTCTAAAAGTCGTAGAAACTAGTATTCTAAATACCGTAGAACATAAATGACTTCTAAATTTTGTAGAACATGTAGAGTGTGTAGAATACATAATCTAAATTTTGTAGAACATGTAGAGTGTATAGAATATACATTCTAATTTCAGAAGACATATTCTAAACTTTATAGATCAAATTTTATCCATCTAAAACGAACACAAAACAATATATTTTTGACATTTAATATATCTTCATGTCTTCTTTATCATTTTAATACATATTTTTCTTAATTATTTTTGAAACAATTGGTTCAATCTTATGCAAGGCGTAATTTAGGAATAGTTGATATTTGTTCATAGAATTCATATATGGACAAATACTTAAATATTTATCCTTTATTTCTAATTTTCCCATATTTTTTTCCCCCTAAGAACAATCTTCAATGTTATACCCTTGCATATGCCCTTAGAGCATGATTATTGGTAGTATCTTAGAAATAAATCTTAGAAATATTTAAGTAATATATTTGTAAAAGTGGTAGGTAAGAGATAGCATTTTTGGGTTAAGATTTTTGTATGATTAATGGTAGGTTCTTAACATGTGGTTCTTAGAAAAAAAATATTAATATAAAAATAAAATTTATAATTATAGAAATTTTAATAATTGTTGCAAATTAAAAAAATTAAAACATACATGTGATACAATTTATAGCATAAATAACATAAAACACACAAAAAAAAAATTCTTCTTTTGTTTGATTTTTTAACCAATCACAATGTGACACCTTGCAACATCTTAAGTTAAGAAAAACATCTTAACTTAGATACAAATCTTAACTTTAAGATGTTGGTTTGATTATTTTTAATCAATTTTAATCCTAAGATTTGTCTAAGATACTCAACATTTCAACCAATATTCATGCACTTAGAGTTTTGAGATTATGAGATGGGCAGACACGTGTCTGTTTTCGATTGGATTGGAGGGAGTGTTTTAACAAAAGAAAAAAAAACACTCATTTTTTTTAGTTTTCGCTCTCGACCAGAAAAAAAAACACTGACTCTCTCTCTTTCTCGATCTCGCGATTGCGAGAAAAAAAACTGATGAACAAACGCCGATTTCGTATTACAAACCCATGTATTCGTGATTTCTTAAAATAATTTGGAAATTGTGAACCATAGTTATTAATGGTGAGTTCGATTTGGGAATCCATTTTGTTAGTTTCTGAAATTTCTTGTTAATTAATTTTATATCAACAAGTGAATTTAATGTTGTGGATTGAGTTCACGAAGCTTAGTGGAATGACAATACAAGGCAAAGGTGTTAATGCTTTTGTGTGATTCGGTGTAGTTAGAGATGGATGCTTCAGATTCGTTTTACTTTTGCTTCCATCATATGATTAACCAAGGACTGCAATTTTGGGTAGTTTAGTAGAAATGAGATGTGTAGGGGATAAAATATATTGAGTTATGAATCTCAAAGTTGAATACTTTGAAGAGTTCTCTTTCATTTTCATCTACTGAGTTTTGGTGCTGCACTCTTTTTTTAATGATGGTTGCGAAATTGCAGAGTGAGGAACCATGAAGGTGAGATCATATGTGAAGCAGATGTGTGAGTTTTGTAAAACAGTGAAACGTCGAGGACGTGTCTATATTATCTGTTCTTCGGTTCTTCCATTCCTAAGCACAAGCAAAGAAAGACAAGGGTTCAGCTCCTTTGCTTATGAAGGAATTATACCTTTCCCGTTGTAAGTGAATCTTGTATGATCTGTTTTTTGCTTTTGAGTAATTAGGTGTTTCTTTTAGATTTTTGAGGGGTTAAATACAAAGTTATATGTCGTTCATGAAGATGGTACAGAGATACTAAAGAACCAAAGCTCTTGCTTTCATTTGACCATTGTGAATCACTTACTACCTAAACTTTTTCCTATTTCCACTCTAATGTTGTGATTGAATGTAGTAAACTACACACCTCTTCATGCGCGTCCTGAAGGTGATGAGATTGAGATTGAGGATCATAGAGCTCATAGGGTGGGACGCGAATTTTCCTTGTAAGAGGAGGACGAGTAGACACAAAAGTTTTCTTCTACATATCTTGAAATTATATTTGATTTTATAAATTTGTAAGCAGATGAATTCGTTGTATATAAAGTATTTGATGGAAATCATATATATAAAAAGAGGTGAACTCTCTCTATCACCTCATCGCTTAAAGAGAGGACACGTGTATTTGGTAAAAAAAATTAATTAATAGCACATTAAAGAATTCAAAATCTCGGCAAAATCTAACAGAAGATAAAGTCTAAAAACGTTAAGTTATAGTAAATTTTGGTTTTCAATATTTATCTCTCTATAATCAATTTCTTTTTAGGTTTAATACTATCGGCAAACTGTTGAACTTCTCTCCCCTATCCCTCTAAAGCATGGACTCGTGACACTCATCTCTCCATCCTATCATTAGCTTTGGAAGCGAGATTTTTCCTCCAAATTCAAAACAAGTGGAACCCTAATCGTCATCTCTCAGGCTATATCAACCCTAGCCACGTCCTCTTCCATCTCCTTATTCTATTTTTTGATCATTTGTCGCAGTTTGACGTCTCTCTTTCTGTTTTGAGTGTTTTTATCATGTTCGCAATTTCATGGTATCAATCGGGAATCTCACGGTCACATCTCAGGTGTCTTCTGTAAATTATTTTTTCCTCCGTCATAGTTAAACCTAATATAAAGTGTTTTGACAAACAAAAAACCCCAATCAACATCTCCCTTCTCAAGCAGAGAAGCTACAACATTGGTTGATTAAACCATAGACTGACGTTCTTATTTCATTCGATGGCAGGGGATTCTATCAGATGATGTCCATGGTGATTTTTCTTATAATTTTGTTTGGGTCAGACGGAATATAATGATAAGGGTCTCCCAAGATGTTCTGCGAGTGTTTTTTTTTTTTCTCTGTATCCATAGTCCGAAATTATCAAACTTAAGATCCATTGAATTTTGATATTGAATATGTATGGTTTTGAGTGGAATGATTTAGATCGATTACTGTTTTATTCCTAGGTTCATGGATTGTAGGTTTATTTATTAATTTTTAAGTGTGCCCTTATATAGAAACGTTGGAAGCGTCCACTCTTTTATGTCAAGGTTAATATTCTTACCACGATTATGTTTGAATGTTTTCTATTCATTCTCATGAATCCCAATTAATGTTAGTTCAGACGCTAATATTCGTGTGCCTATTGGTCTTAACAGGTTATGCAACTCCTAGAAGAAAAGGTAGAAGACCTTGAAACGCTAGAGCTGACCAGTTTAACAAATTACATAAGCATTGATGGTGATGGCCTCAAACAGAGGCATTTCTGCTATTCCACCTAATTAAAGATATGTATGTATGTTTAGTTTCGCTGCCTCTTTTAATTTTTTTTGCTTGGGAATCAATGTTTATTTTATATATGCTTTTTTCTTGTTATTGTTGACACCCATATTTCAAACTCACGAAAAGCCTCCACCGTTAGTTCAGCTGGTGAAGATTTTATCAGATCGCTTATACTAATTTTTAGTCTTTGTGGTGATGGAGAACATACCATTTTTGGTTCAAAAGGGGAACTTTGGCTCCCATGGAGATTGCAATAGAGAAAACATTCAAATAGAAATTTGGATGCATGGGTGGATTGGTGTGTGGTGTGGTTATAAAGTGGGAGATTGATGTATGTTCTGCTTACCATCAGTCTCACATGAATTCAGGTGTAAAATCAGAATTAGCCCTAACTCTTTGAGTTCAGGATTTCTAAGAAAAAACAGCATATTGCATGAGACATGAAAGCTTATTGTGGAGAGAGACAGTTTTGGTTTCTCGCTTTTGGTTTCTTATAGTCATGTTGATCTTTGTTAGTAGTCTATCTTTGAGGTATTCTTCTCATTGGCTTCAAAATAAAATCATACCTTCAAACTGTCTACATTTTTACAATGTTCTATGCTATTATATATTCGATAGCGAGATACAATGTTTTGTTTGTGGAATAGCTCCACGGTGACCGTCGACCATCTTTTGCTCCGGCTTCACACGTGTTTCCTGCTTCTTTTTCTTCTTACCTTGTGCCTCTGCGGTGGTTTTCTTGGGCTAGGTTGCGCTACGCTTTTTTTCTATTCAATTGGGCCTATTGGGTTTGTCATGTTGCTTGTTGAAAATTTAGAAAACCGTCGAAAAACCTATCGTCTCTTCTTGCATGCTGAGTTCCCATTAACTCCCATGTTTATGCCTCTTAGTTTTTCCCCACTAGAATAGAAAAGTTTTGGCTCTTTCAAATTCACTACCATAACTTTAATATTAAGCATTCGAAATTCCATTTGAAGTTAGTACTTATTTAATAGATTAAAGTGGGTACAATATAAAACCCCCAAAAAATTATAACTATAACTAATAGGGTACAAATACCGTTTTTTTACTCATGTGATGTGTTGATCTTCGTTTTGTTTAAAGGCAATTAGCTAGGTTTCTACAATTTCGAGACCGATACAGATGAGTTCAGAGTACTTGACGTAGCCATTTGTTGCATCGTATTTTGGTAAATATGCGACTACCAACAAAACAAATGCTTTGTAATATGAGGTACATGTTACATGATTATAGCATCTCTGTCTTTACTCTTTATTTATATTTTTAGTTGTGTAAAAATTTATTCTTACATAGACTGGCCCATTTTCAAGACAATCTATGCTACATTGATTTTGAGAACTGCAAAATCGATCAAGCGACTTCAAATTTTTTTGGTATTAATCTATTTTAGTTTTTAGTTTTAAGGTTCTTTCGGTGGAGTATCTCTCCCCCTCTTTATATATATACACAATTATATGTATATAGAGTTTTTTGAATTATAATGTGTTTGTCTTTGTTGGTGCAGAAATCTTCTCATAGAGAATATAAGATCTATGAACTTAAATAAGCTTAAACGTCAACATAAGTTTCGCAAGAAAACTTGATCTATTATGGTCATATCTTCAACTCTTCAAAGCTATATGTATATAGAGTTATTCAATGAGATTAATGTGTAAAAATGTTTTGTTGTTTACTTATAATTATTATGGTGGCATGATAATTTTGTTGTAGACTTGGTACATGCTTGACCTGCTCTTTGATTCTCAAAAACAAAGAGTAAATATTGCTTGAAGCCAATAGAGCTTTGTCAATGAAGGTATATATCATATATACAATAAGTTATGCATTTGCTGAATTCTGTTAGTGCCCAATCTTGTGGTCAATCTCTTTTAATTTGCAGGTCTTGAAGTTCCTAACATCTTGGAAATATATCTTTTAAATCTATATCTCACCTATCATATATAGTGTGAATCATGATGTTGATGATGATGTGGATCTTTGCTCTGTCGGGAAACCGATAGCGGTGCAAACACGTGGACCCTTGCTCTGTCGGCGAGCGTTAGGAAACCTGGATTATCAAAAAAAAAAAAAAAAAAAAAGTATGACAATCTGGTATACCTGGAGCATATGATTGGGATGACACAAACTTAGGCGTAACCATGCAACGGTTACATCCCAATCTATATGTTGTGAGAGTTACGTGATTGACTAATTCTATCGCTCATCAGAAAATCATTTTTATGTGGACATAAGTGGCTATATAGTCATGAGGATCTTTACGGTCTCTTCTACAAACCTTTACTCTATTTTAAGAATTGTAATGCATGTGTGTTAAAAGTTTTAACTTTGGGACCATTACAAGATCTTTATGGTTCATTTTCAAAGTACTACACATGAGATATGTAATGAGAAACATTTTGGTTACAATGTGATCTCTCCACCAAAATCTACTCCATGATGGCGATTTAATTTTAGTTTATAGTTTTACTTACAAAAAATGTGAAGTTGACATCTTGAGCCAAGATGGATATAATTTTATAACTACATAAAATGTACCTAACTTTATACAAAAAAACATAAAAAATGAAAATAATTTAACAACAAAAACTATAAACAGAATTTTTAAAACAAAAGTCCACGCGTAGCGTGAGTACTCACCTAGTAAATATAACTTTGTGTATTTGATTATGTGTTATCTCTTGATAGTTAAATTTATCATTTTTTATTGCGTATAGAAGCTCAGTAACTCTTCAAAATGACAATTTCATCATTCCATCAAAGTGACAATATAGCAACCTAAATTGGTTTGTTGATTTATACTCTAGTCTGTTTTCTTTGAAAACTTCTATTCATTGACAAATCAAAATTTGATATACAAACATCCGAATCTCAGTTTTGACACTATATGAAAACTTAAACCATGACTTAAACATTTCTCCATATGTAATTCAAGTTTACATCAACCACAAAACCATGACTTGAATCCATATCTTTTTTTTCTCCATCTCCTAAAATTTGATCAAGTGTTTTAAAAACCAAAACACATAAATTTGATCAAATGTTTAATATTTTTATGAATTGCAATAATTAAAAATTACATTTTTAATAATTTTTTTTTAAGAGAATCCCACTAGAGAACCTACCATTGGACTATCAAAAACTACAAAAAAAAAAAAAAAAGTTCTCATCTCATAAATCTCAAAATTTTTTATTAAATAATTTGAGAGAGTCTCATGGTGAGAGCTGGAGAGCTCTGTAAGTTCTTGGTAGAGACACCCACTTCATTCTCTCTCTTCTACATTTTTGATTTTGTAATTTTTTAATTCAGTGAATTACAACAATATTTTTATTCCATAAGTTACCATTTTCACACCCACATCAATGAAATTTTTTGTTTTTCAGACGATAGGAGAATTTATTATATAATTTAGTCTCCAAATCCAACTGGTTTTTGAACGTTCTTTAATTATCTCTATCGTAGGCTTTCTAGTCGATAAGAACAAGATACTTTTTGGGGCACTCGATAAAGGAATGAAATTAAACAACGTTGGAGACGAAAATATAAGTTTGATAATTAAAGAACTGGAAGACCCTTTCTTCTTATTGACTCAGCAATGGGAAAATGGGAAAATGGAAGAAATGGATCCCTACACAACTGGAAGACCCTTTCTTCTTATTGACTCAGCAAGCAAAATAAAAGACACAACTAATTAAAAGAAAACGACTTATTGTGCATATCTCCGGATCTGAACTCTGGTCCGGTTTGATACTCTTCTCTCCGGTTCTGTTACTGCAGGCTCCATCAGTACCGCAGTCCCTGGAACACAGAATCTATGTTTTGTCCCCAGTCTCCATTGTACAACTCCAAGAGCTTCTCTGCAGGCGTAACCCCTATATTCAAAGATAATTAGCAAAATTTTAGTTAACCGGGAAATGGTCTTTTCAAGAGAATTAACAAATTTTCTGTTGACCGTGAAACAAAGCATTACCTGTTCTAACCACCTCGGCGAGAGCCTTCAAGAAACCGGTTTCATTGTACCCTCGACGCTCCAAACCATCCTGAGCAATAAACAAATAACTTCAATAAGTATATATCACATTATTAAGGAGAAAGCAGATACACATACCTTTGCTAGCTTTAGGACATCTTCTGCTACATGTTTTAAAGGCCTATCTCTAAACATTGTCTTTAGGCCAGTGATTGGAACCTGTCGAAACCCGATGAGAATTGGTTTTTAACGATAATATTATTTCGTTTAATATAAAGGACTTAAAAGTAAAGTATTTATTCTCTCTTCTAAGTTTACTTGAGTCCTAAGCATCTCCCTTTCTTCAGTAGTCCAATCATCGATCATATCAAGAACAGTTTGGAGAGAGTCCTCATCGTATAGCAAACCCACCTGACATTCACTCAAATACATTAGAAACAAACCCGCGAAACAAAATCTTTGTAAAAGATCGTGTTAATTACCCAGAAAGCTGGTAGGGCACATAACATGTCCAAGGGACCTCCATCAGCACCTCTCATCTCCAAGTATCTCTTTAGTCGGACCTATATATTAGTGTTATTACAAAACATAATCATAAGAAAAATTAATGACTTTTAACCGCAATAAGAAACAAGGAAGTTGAATGGTGTTGTTGAAACAGAGCAATCAACCTCTGGATATATTGCTCCTAAATGAAGTTCCCAGTCCTTAATGTTAGGTTGTTCATTAGAGAGATGAGAAATTTTCCCGGACATGAAATCCTGAAAAGTCGAGAAATATGTTAAGATCATAACCTAGCTCTAGAAGATTTCGAAAGTTTTAAACGATAACTATATATATATATGATTTTTGCTGATGAAGAAGAAGTGGCTAGACCCGAAATGTCATTCCTCCACAGTCGAGATAGCTTTCGTTTCGAAATAAGAACAACATTGGAATATCAAGTGCGTATTCGACATACCGCTCAAACCTATATCAACACATTGAAGATTAACAATACGTTTTAGGAAAAAGATTGATCAAAGATTTAGAAGAAAAAATAAAAATTAAACTCACCCAAATGAGTCATCGAAAACAAAAGGTATCATCCCTGTGCGGTTCTTATCAGAATCTGTATATAGCTGACTGTGAAAGCATGCGTGTAAGTAGATTGAGAAACTTCTACTAAGAGTAAAATACTAACGAGTAATAATGTAGAAACCAACCTCCTCACGCTCAAAAACCCATTTGGTTTTCCATTACTAAAAGGGGAATTTGCGAATATAGCTGTAGCGATCTGTTTGATTTAAATATAGCAAAAGAGTAAGATAAATGTTTAATGCTTGAGTCTAAAAACCACTAGCATTAAAAGAGAATCAAGCATCAAACATCTCACAGGTTGCAAAGCTAGACTAGCGCGAAACTTCCTGATCATATCGGTTTCTGAGCTATAGTCTAGATTGACCTGAACAGTACACGTTCTGAACATCACGTCAGGTCCTGATGTGGTGGCTCTGGCTAAGTGGTCTGTTATAATGTTAAGCCTTCTCTGCTCATAAAAAAAAAATACTTTGGCTTGTTAAAAAAAATAGCTATTAATTGTACGCCAGATTAAATAATATGAGAACTTATATGTTTGTAGAGGAAGAACCTTGGGCACAATGGTTACATCCTCGAGACTAGCTTTGGGTTCATAGCCAATTCCTAAGAAACCAATTTCCAATTCTTCAGCAACAGTTTTCACCTGGTGAAGATGTGAACGGATCTCATCACAAGTTTGGTGCAGCGTCTCTAGAGGTGCCCCACTTAGCTCTAGTTGGCCTCCTGGTTCTAGTGAAATGCTTTTGCTTCCCTGAAATGTAATAATCAATGCTAAGCGAAACTTATATGAAATTTTGTTATCATTATTGTTGGATATTGAAAGAGAAGAGAAGAGAGTACTTTACTTGTTTCAAACCAATGATTCTTTCTTTCTCCATCACCTTATCCCAATCATATCTCTCGGCAATACCATTAAGCAGTGCAGTTATTTGTTCAAATTTTATAGGGCGCAAAGTCTTGACCTCGAAACAAAATTTCTCATGTTCTGTGCCTATTCTGAATACCCAATCAAAGGGATAAAACAATGCAAAAATGAGTTCGAACAAATTTAGTAAATTGATAGAGCAAGAGAGGAAATGATGATCATACTGGTACCCGTACCTCCACATTTCCTTTGGTTTGCATCCAGAAGCAAAATAGGCAATCAGATCTTCTTTGGTCAGTGGCTTGGTCACGACTACAGAAGAAGCGCTTGCGGGTGCCATATTCTCTTGATTACCTGCAACTACCTATGAAATCTATATTATTGTGAAATCAGCAAAAATGATTAAGAAAATATTCCTCCAAACAACAAGAAAACATAAATGAAGAACTAATACCTGAAGAAGACGAGGAGCTAGAGCACCAAGGCTTGCAGGTTTAGTAGTAAATAGATGGTTGTGTAGTACCTCTGTGCACCATACATATATACATGCATCTGTGACCTGTGTTCAGATAATCTTGTTAACCTTATGATGATATTATATGGCCCAAACAATGTTACATAAGACAAACGTGCTTAATTCTTTTTATAAGATAGATCTAAAAGACTTTCTGTTTCTGTTTCAATTTCACGTCCAGATTCAAGATTTGTAAAGTCGTGCAACATCATGTTTTTTTACTTGGGATACGACGTCGATTAATTGAATACGATGCTTTTTCACTATACATGTGTTATTTGAGTCAGCATATGTTAGGGTTAACTAACATCCATTAATGCGGATTTTGAATTACGCATGAAATATAAAGTTTAGCTATCAAATTTAAAATTTATATGCGTTTGGAGATTATTTAACACCGCATATTTGTACAGATAGATGCAAATTATACGGTCAGAAAATACCCTTTTCCCACATAGTTGGGTCTACTTATATCTGTCGGCACCTTCATGTCAAGATATATATAATCCCATTGCAATCACGTTTCGTATATGAGTCTGGTAGATTCAATATCTCTAAATCCAAAATATATATAGATCTCTAAATCCAAGATGTGTTAGTAACACCACATTTAGAGAACTCATCAATTACACAGTATCGTTACATCGCAAGCAAATCCACCAGTGAATCAATTTCTTTTTTAACAAAAATAAAATTAAACTGTCCTAAACAAATTTTATACTCACAATAATTATCAATTAAAATTTGTTAATCCACTAATCTATTGAATTCCAATATTAATTACAGCTGTCGGGATTGTGAGGAAAAACGGTCTATTTCCCCCCGAGAACTATCGTATCTGGCCAGATAAAGCCCGATCTTTGACCTCTGTCTATATACCCATAAAACGGAAGTTAAATGTTTATTTCCCCACCAATTGAAAGTTCGAGAGCTTAATGTCCATGAATCTTAAGTTCGATATTTAAAACCCCATAGCGCTGGGTTTAATTGGTTTATTGTATACCAAACCGATGCTTTAACCAATTAAACCTAATTAGAACCAGCCTAAACCTAAATTACAACCCGTTTATGACTCATTACCCAAAAAAACAAATCGAAACCAAAAATTGAAACCAAAAATCGAAAATCCCCAAATTGCTCTCGACGAACCCTAGAATCCCCAAATCACTTTTCCCCAAATTTGATCGATGTCGTTAGTCCTTCACGACCCTGATCTTGTTGGTGATGTCGATCCCGAAGCTGAAGATAGAGATCAGTTTTAATGATAATTGATTCAAGAATAATGAAACTGAGGGTTGTCTTCATAAAACTGTTGCAGCACACTCTGATTAATGTTGTGACGATCCTGGTGGGCAACAAGTCGGATCTGAAGGACTTGAGAGAAGTGTCAACAGCGGAAGGGAAGTCATTGGCTGAAGCACAAGGTCTTTTCTTCATGGAGACATCGACTTTGGACTCATCAAACGTGGCAGCTGCGTTTGAGACGGTTGTGAAGGAGATATACAACATACTGAGTGTTGATTGATTTAAAATTGAATCGTGGGTTTATGGTTTAGCAATCGTGGGTAGTTAATTAGCTTGTTTTTGTTTAATTTCGGATTTTCTTATCATGGGTTATGCGTAATTATCTTCTTCTCTATTTAAGCTTTGCACTTTGTACTTTCAGACTTAGTACTTCTCAATTCAATCGAGTAAATTTCAGTTTCAATTCTTCTTCTTTCCTGCAATTTTCTGATTTCTCCAACAATGGTGGTATCAGAGCGATTCCAGGTTTTAATTCTCTTAAGAAGACGAAGTGATGGCAAACAATGGCAACGACACGAATCTGCAAGCTCTTATTCCAACGTTCAAAGGGGAGAAGTACCATCTGTGGAGTCTCAAGATGAAGACAATGTTTCGGTCGCAGGAGTTATGGGATTTGGTCGAGAATGAGTTTGAAGATCAGAATCCACCAGAGCCTGATCAACGTTTACGGGAGAATCGGAAGAAAGACGCAAAGGCACTGTTCTTTATCCAATCGGCAATGGGTCGGGTTTAAAAAAGGAATCGTTTTTTTTTGGTTAAGTTACGACCGAAACATGGTTCTGTCTCGGGTTTATGCACTAAACCGACGAAACTAGGATTCATGGACATTTAAGCTCTCGAACTTTCAATTGGTGGGGAAATAAACATTTAACTTTCGTTTTATGGGTATATAGACAGAGGTCAAAGATCGGGCTTTATCTAGCCAGATACGATAGTTCTCGGAGGAAAATAGACCGTTTTTCCGGATTGTGAGACTCCTTCCCTTCCTTATAATAAGTATAATGAATAATTAACTGTATTTAGACCAAAAATGCAGATACCACGTGAAAACAACAGTGTTCAAGAAAGCGCTAGGCGCTAAGCGGGCGGTGATCCAGCGCTTAGAACACCTAATCGGGGTGTAGGCGATTTTTTAGGCGGTTTAGACGTTTATAACATAAAACATTATAAATATGATATTATATATAAAAGTTATATAAAATATCTATATAAAACTAAAAATTATGAAAGTATAAACAAAAACTAGATAAAACATTTATTTATATTTTATTAAACAATATATGAATATTTATAACTAGATATATAAATAAAACTCTAATGGAAACTTAAAAAATACATTAAACCAGATCTATGTAATTTTAGGCTGTCAAAGCGGTTATCTAGGCGTCACATGAGAGCCTAGCGGCTAGTCGAGGCCTAGGCGACCGTCTAGACCGCTTTTTAGAACACTGGAAAACACACGTACCGATATTAATTATTCATTTGTACGTGTTTTACATGGTACCCCTTCCGTTTCATATTAAGTGTCGTTTTAGCCTTTGAATTTTGTTTTAAAATAAGTGTCGTTTTGTGTTTTCAATGCAGATGTTTGGTAAAATTTCCAGTTTTGTCCCTACTAATTTAATGTATTGACCAATGAAAAAATAAAAAAAAATATATAGATAATGGATAAAATAGAAATTTTAATTGTTTTCTTAATATGTGTAGAAAAACCTTAAAGGACACTTATTATGAAACAGAGAGAATATGTAATCAAATTATGTAGAATTGTGGGATATTTTATATTTTTCTTACCACATGATTTGATTCCAATAATAGCCAATTAATAATGATGACCTAAAATTTTTTATATAGTTATTATCTATCATTTGTTTGGGTTTACAAAGCCATTACTCAATTAGACTAATATATTTCCATGACACTAATCATGTGCAGTCAAATAAAATTCCGTTTATAATCAAATGATAAACACGCATTAATAAACAAGTCTAAAACACCATTTGATTCCCACTACCACGTGAAAACACGTACAGATATGTCAGATGTGGGATATTTTACATTTTTCTTACCACATAATTTAATTAATTCCAATAATAGTCAATCAATAATGATGACCTAAGAAATTTTATATAGTTATTATCTTTCACTTGTATGGGTTTACAAATCCATTACGCAAGTAGACTAATTTATTTTCATGACTCTAATTATATACTAATCATGCAATTAAAATACATTTTTGTTCATAATCAAATGATAAACATGATTTAATAACAAGTCTAAACAGCCACTAAAGACCATAATCATATAAGGGAAATTTTTTGTGGAAGCTCTTTAACATATAAGAATTACCAACACTAACTTAAATCCTTGATTGAATAATTTCCCCTTATATGTTTTAGAATAAAAAAAAATTAAACATATTAGGTGATTATTCGCGCTACGTCGCGAAGTTTTTTCCGATTATTTTAATTTGTTTTATTTAATTTTATGTTTTAATAAATGTAGTTTTTAATTATCTAATCATTCATTTATGTATTCAGTAACTACTCTTAGTATTAAAATATTTTTTCTAGCAACATTCTCAACAATGCCTCACTCACAAAATTTTTTAACAATCTTTATGGTAAACAAATTTTATAAATGGTAATACTGAAATTATAAAAACCTCAAGAATTTGATGGTGGAACTCCTAACTTACTCCTCACTCTCTGTGATAAATTATATAGAAAACAATTTAAGAGAATAACTTACTCAAACCATTAGGCATTAGCCAATCCACTATATTATATCTATTCATATTTGAGTTAAAATTTCAAAAATTAGCAAAAAAATCTCTAGAATATGAGAAAACCAATAAAATAATTTTATTGAAGAAAAAAATATAGAATAATAAAATAAAATTAGTATTGATAGAATTAAAGATGTTAAATTAAATAATATGTACAATTAAATAATAAATATATCATTAACCATTAATTTACATTAATTATTTAGTAGATATGTGGAAATGCTAAAATGATGATGTGTCACTCATATAAAAAGTGTTAGCCAACTTTCATATATAATTTCCATGAATTGTTTTTTTTTTTCACGAATAAACTTGAATATAAATATAGAATAACCCATTCAGTTCACTTAGATTTCTTTGAAGGATCATACCATGAACATAATCAATGGTGAGAAATTTGGTAATTCTCAGTCTATAGGGATTAGAACGATTGTGGTCTTGAAGGAACGATTGTGGCCTTGATGGTTCAGTCGATCATCTTATCTATATCTCTGATCTCTCTCCTCTTTTCCTCTTTCGAATTATTAGGGGTTATAAGATGGGTTTGTCTTTAGGAGAAAAGAGGTACAGTATATATTTTAATTTAGTCTTGCATGCTTTGTATACTCTCTCAACTTTGAAAAATTAATATCCCTTTTTTCTTTAATATACTTCAAACTATGGATTTAATTCCTAAAAATTCATTCACAAGATGAACGTTGTTTTATGTATTAATTTAGGTATTCTATATTTGGCAGCTTTGAATCCAATTTTGTCAAGGAAATCGTTAAGGAGATGCAGAGAGTTATAGAAGCATTTGGACTCGATATGAAAAAAGGAATGTCATTTTGGGGAAATGAAAGTTAAGGAGAAATGTGGGGAACTTTCGATTACCCATATGGTGAATCTCCCGATATCAAGAGGAGCAAATCCAAGAAGTACTAAAATAAATTTTCAGTTTCATCAACAATTATATAAA